TAATTTGCGGCGGTTACAAAACACGGAACAATCTATCTGGCGAATCGACATTGAAAAAGAAAAACCACTTTATCTGATAAGCACGTAACGCGACGGATCAGTCAAAGTTCACCGGGTGACACGATTCTTTCCAATAATCTCGCACCCGTCGAAGGAAATTTCCCGGCAGTTGGTAGCCAGCCTGGAGGAACGGGCACCTCCTCTCGATGAATCCACGACGATCGACCAATACGGGGGCGAGGCGACACCGTTTCCAGCGGGAAAATAATGAAATTTGCAGCATAATCGGTAGGCAATTCATAGTCGCTGAGTGGTTTCTATTAAGGCTAACGACAGCCGGCACCGAAGGGGCTACGGAGCACTCGAAGGAAGACAATCTCCCGTGAGGAGATGGGCCTTTTTTTCTCATCCCCCGCTTCTCGCGCGCCTCAGCCTCAACCTCTCCCGATCTCCAACCTCGTCTCGTTCTACCGCCAATCGTGAGGATCTATTTCCTATCGACGGACCTATCGTCCCTTTCTTTTTCACCTCTTTTGCTTTCGAGAACTGGCGACACGATTTCTCCTGCTGGTTCCTGCTCCGCCTCCTTCTCTAGCCTCCGCCAGCACTCGTCCTCTTCCTTTCTCCCTCTTTCTTTCGCCGCCTCGCAGCTCCGTTGTCGTCGTCGTTGTTCCTCCTCGGCCTCGGTCGAACCTCGCTCGCTCGACCATCCGCTCGACGTCTCCGCACCATCGGAGAGGCCAGCGGCAGCTCTTTCTATCTCACCTGTGGAGCTGCTACGTGGGATTGGAAAGGTGGGGAGGGCCGTTCAGGTGGGAAGCAAGCGTAAGCGGAATCGTCGGAGAGTTGATTTTAGGTCGGCTAACGTCGTTTCGCTTTTAATGAACTTCTCCGTTCGTTAAGTACGTTTCTCCATCTCCGTCGCCTGCCAATCCGCGGACCAGTTCCTTCTCCCTGGAGGAGCCGATCGGATCTTCTTTATTTATACCTCGCGATCGGTCACCGAAACGATGAAACGACGCTTTTCATCGATATCTCGCGAACTTTCAGAGGCAGGAAAATGCATCTTGGAATTCTTTGAACTTAAGGGTAAAGCAGTGACGCGCGAAATTTAGTCCAGTCACTGTCACTTTTTCAAAGTTGGATTAATTTTAAGTACTCCTCGTATTTTCTTTTTTTTTTTTTCCACTAACCATCGTCTCTTTCTTTCACCGATTGTGTAATATTTCATACAATTGTAAGAATTCCTGAAATTGACAAATATTTCAGATCTACGGAAGTAGCTATTTGGCGCTGTAGTCTGTCAAATGAACGTAAGATGTCGCTACCATTAAAATCTCACTGGTTCTTGTTTAAAAATTAGAGACGAAGGACGTTTGTTTCCGTTCTCATGACATGTGTCGATGGAACATACTAAAATGCAATGTTAACAAGTTTCACGAAAAATAACTAGATTATCCAGTAAAGAATCCCAAGACTTTCACAATCGTACAATTACGAGCGCACTCGTGGCTTATTTATGACGTCGTTAAATAATAACGACTGTTGCATCATGTGCATACAGAAGTGGAAGAATATATTACGTTGAACAAGAAAAATACAATGATCATCAATTGTTCGTGATAAGAAGATAAATAAATCGTATAGATAAATCTTTAAGGCTTAGATAGCAAAGTAACTAAAGTATATGACATTTGTCATTATACTTTAGTTACTTTGCTATCTAAGCCTTGAAGATTTATCTGTACGATTTATTTATCAATCATTTCATTCCATACTGACGATATTGTTACATATTGTAAAAAGATTCAGTACGATCAACGCTAAACAGCTAATTACCGATCACATTCTCAGCCATTATCGTTACCAAAAATAAATCGAGTTATTAATCTCTCGTCAAACTTTCAAACGCAATCTTGGATCTTATTGCACTATCGTATTAGCTAAACAAGAGAATCAACAAGTTTTTGAACGGAATTCCCACGAGATCGGGAGAAACAGATTTTTAATCTCTCCAAGTTACTATGAATTTCACGTCTTAAATGTTATCACGCCCGAACGAAATTATCAATATCCTCTTTCTTCTTTCAACTGAAGCTTAACGTTGCGTCGCATGGCTGTTGCCCGTTTATTGCTAGACAAAGTTGAATGTATTCACTTTTGAAATAAGAAATAACTTTCTCGAATCGTCCTCTTTATAAATTTGTCAAATTGGCCAATGTTACTGTCCTTGATAAACGCAACTGCACGGAGAAAGTTCCTCAAACGCACGCAGCTTCAATAGCAATAAAAATATCGGGGGGATATTAACAATGTTCATTCAACCGATGAATTGAATCGTGTCTAAGATCGACTTCAATCTCCCTAATAAAATTGATGAATACACAGTACGATAACAATACGATAACACGAATGTGGTAACACGAGCGTATATGAGTAATGGAGGTGATTGTTGCTCCATTAATGCCAGTCTGGCTGTTGCTTGGATTAATTAAAATTGCAATCGTGTGACGCGATCTAACTGGTTCACGAGTGTCGGTTTTGTTCGAGTTTTTTCTTCGGAGTACGAGTCTCTTAGCGTTATTGAATTTTCACTTCCGGTCAGTCTTGCTGAACTGAAATTAAGGGACCGATTTTATCGACTTCAATACAATTATTTTCCTCCTAGTTTTCTAGAATTTGTTTAATCTCGCTCGTCGTTTCGACATCGATCGATTTCTTACAAAGTTACACAAATCTCTCCGCGGATTATGTAATCGACTGAAAGTGTGAATCCGATGTTATCTAGGATTTTGCATAATCAAACAGTTCGATGTAGTTCAATAATATCGTCATGCGTATGATGTCAATAAATTTGAAAACAAAAATATTGACTGTAATCGACGCTATGTGCTTATACGTGCTTATATAATAACAATTACATGTTTGAAATTTCTGTGTAAATATAATAAATCCAAGCTTGATAACTATAACAAACGTATCTTGTTGAAATGTTTTTGTAGCTTGTGGAAGAAGAATTTCTGAACTGTTTCGTCAAAAATATGCTTTGTTCCTATTGGTAGCAAAATAATTGGTACCAAAAATATTTGATACAACAGGAGTTTATCGATTTTCCTTAAAAAAGTATCAAGTATTCAGGCATCATCGAATAACTTCCTCTTCAAACTTTTATCCAGCGTGTTTATTAGAAAAAGTTGTTATCCTTCGAACAAACTTCCCCGTCAAGTAATCTTCGTCTACGTGATTAGACGAGCTGTTGCGCGAGAATGAAACGCAGTCTAGTAAATGTTCGGTGTTTCTTGCATCAGCATGGATTCACGCTGACGAAACTCCTTGTATGAGATTAGCGTCGGAAGAAAAATAATGAAGCCGGCGTGCTGCCACGATCCTCTGGTGGGAGATGCTCTTTCCACAAAAGATGTTATCTTTGTAACCAAACTACACGTGCTACATACACACATGCGTCAGCACGGAATGACCGATTAAACGAGGCAAAAAAATAAAAAGGAAAAAAAAAAGGAAGAAAAATAAATCAGGGTCGGTCGACCACGACTTTCGTTTCTCGCGCGCGTTGATAAAAGTAAATGGTAGGATTCGTTGATAATGCAACTGAGAAATTGTCCTTCGCCTGTTCGTCGGTCGCGAACGAGCAAGGAATCGACATTCATTTACGTCGTCCAATGTCATTCGTCGTTTTATCTATTTCTCAGCAACTGTATTCCCACAAATGTATCGCTGCTTCTCGAATTCCCCTCGCTCGTGATCGGACAAGAGGGACGAGAAGAAAATAGAATCGAACGTTCTCGGTGGCAAACACGCCCGGTGGCGCTCGTATGTTCACGAAACTTCGAAAACGATCGGAAGGGAATGCGTTCTTGGGATGATGTTTGGCAGGAGACAGTTAAAGGCACAGGCGGAGAGTAATTTCGTAACGAGGCAATTAATCTCGTCGCGACGTGCTTGGACGACGTAATCGTTAGACGTAGAAAAAGGTTTGTATGAAAGTTCGGTGTTTTGTTCGATTTTACTTACGGCGATATTGGATTTTATCCCGATATTGGAGTTTTAGTAACAAATGGCTAGTTCGATTTGATTAGTCTCTTTTTTTGTCCTATAGTAATATAGTTTCAGTTCGATATTTTTTTTCCTTCTCTCTCGCTCTTTCTCCCTCTCTTTTTCTTTTTTCCTTCTTTCTTCTTCGTTCTGCAACAGTTCGATTGCAATCATGATGTTACGAGAAGGATAATTGCAGTTTTTGGTATCGGTACTGGTAATTGCTCCGCGGAGCATTAACGGCGCCACTGTTGAAGGAAACCGGGTCATTTTTATTTCCAAGTTTTAGCGTCACCCGTTCTATGCACACGAAATGCTGATCTTTCGTTGCATCAAGATGAACGTTAAATATTCCATATTTCGTCAGACGTCTATGATAAGCCTTGATGACGTGTCATCGAAAATCTCGATTTTCCTTCTTCCTCGGATCTCTTCTAAGAATTCAAAAATACCCGCCAAAAAGTCCGTTCCGGCTGATCGGCGCTGATTTTTAAATAGACATATTTAAATCAGTTCAATTTCGATTCCACAGTTTTTCGAAATTTTCACAGCTTCATTTGGTCAACAATTTCTCCATCTTTATTAGAAACAAAGAAATTTAGTTGCCGAAAATGTTTATCCGAAAAATCGTGCACCGATGGAAAATGTCACCGTCGTGTCGGGACTACAACACCAATTGTTTACAGCCTGTCGTGATGTCTTTTGCATCGATGTCCATTGTTTGCAACATCGTCGATCGAATTCCACGAAAAAACCGTCTCGAAGCCGAAAGCATTTTCATCATCCTAAAAGATGCATCCACCCCCAACGTCTGTCCACGGAGATTGATAGTAGTGGTAAATAGTGGAGGCAGCTACTAGTATCTAAATACACGAACGGTGTATTTCTTTTTGAATATGTTAATGCTATCTGACGCAACCAAAGTTATCGCTAAATATAAAAGCCGGGTAAACGAGCCGCGCTGTCAGTGTTGTTAGTAATATCGTTGGTGTTCGACGAAAAAGAATGTGTTGTTAATCCATTTTTGATTCCCTGCTCTTTTTTTCTCACTCGTTCGTTTCCTGTCCAACCTGCCAGCGGTGTGTTTGCCAGCATATCGGGATTTTTCGCGAAAAAAATCATATTTTTCCCCCATAGTTTCCCCGTTGCCGTTTGCCGTTCGTTTCGCTCTCGATCCGTTCGATTCGTTCGGACTTGAAGGTACACACACACACACACACACACACACACATACACACATACCGGGAGAACGCGAACGAAAAATGCATAAAATGAAAGAGCAATTCGAGGTGGACTACTTGTCGTTCAGGACGGAAGTCTCCAAATGTAGGAAATCGCTCGCCACCAGAGAATTGAGTAAGATCCTCGTCAAAGATCCTACATTTATTATCGTTGGACGAAGAAAAAAATATAGGGAAGTCGTTTCCTAACGAACGTTTTTTCGCGCTTTCGTCTTCTAGCGAAAATAGCGTATTCCGCGTCGAGCAGCGTGGTCTCGCTGGCGGAGGGCATGCCGAATGAAGCTACCTTCCCTTTCAAGGAGATCTCCATCAAACTTAACGACGGATCGTCTTTCACCCTTGACGGGCAAGAATTGGGCGCAGCTTTGCAGTATATTCCCAGTCAGGGATACCCGCCGCTTCTTCAGGTAACTGAAAATTGGATTTCACTCGGGGCAATTTGTTTCATGGGTTCCAATTGCCAGCACGCCAGCGCGAACCTCTTCAATTCTCGTTACACGAACGATCCTAGCGAGAATCTAGCCGTCTCTCGTTTCTGCACGATAATGTGCAAACACAGGATTCGCGGCTCGATAAAATAACAGGAAGCTGACGATGTCGAGGATGTTGCCGGGTCGCGACTTAATCGAATGATCAATGAAAATACCGGGAAGTTTGCGGAATCTCGGTCCTTCAATTTTACGTCATTCTCTAATCCATCGCTTTCTCGTTCAACGACGGTCTAATCTTGACTGTTATTAGATCGTATTTGTTACAGCAGTATATTATGTAATCTAATCTAAATTCATTTCTAAATGCATTTCATTTGATAACGTAAGCGTGTTCGTTTATTAAGATTTTTTGGAATCTATTTCTCTCCAAATCGTCCGCAAAGTTCGAAATCGTATCGCGAGATACCGAAGATATCCAAGTTCCGTGAAATTTCGCAGTCATCGTTTGATGAAACGTACGCGGCAAGCATCTTGAGCGGGCAACGATTACGTTCATCAGAAACGTGCGAATAGTCGCTTCTTTCGCGATTAAATCGCTTCTTTCTCACCTTTCCTTTTTTTTTTCCTCTGCCCCGCGCTTTGAGATAACGCAATTGCCTTCAATATGTTTAACGACATTGGATATTAAATTGGTTTCAGAGCCTGAGGGAGTTCCAGAGGAGGGTGCACGCACCTCCCCTATGGGAGAGCCGTGACATCATGATCGTCTCCGGAGCTCAGGACGGATTAAGCAAAACTTTCGAGGCCATACTCGGCCCCGGTGATTCGCTCCTTGTGCACGATCCTTTTTATCCAGGCGTGCAGGTTGTGGTCAGTAATTCCCAGTCTGTTTTTCAACTCTGTCGCGATTCTCTCGATTCACCGCGATTGAATTATCGCGGAAGTCGAAGCGGAGCTCTTGTTAAACAGAAAGAAATGTTGGCTCTTTCTTTTGCTATTTAACGAAGGACAGAGTGAAACGAAAATTTGAATTCGCGAAGCGTTAACTACGAAAGAAGATACGATGTTTCTAACGCATGAGATATCGAATCATAAATTTAGGAAAATTAGTTGCGGAAATATTTATCTACTTTACGATTATTACGATAAGATATAAGAAATATTTATTTCCATGTAAATGATTAGTCCGCTTGAATTTATCGATTTTTACGCCGTATAGGAAAAATGTTTCTGGGAGAGATAAAATTATTCGAAAAAAAGATAATCGACAAATATGTATTTTAACAAGTCTAATGCTTTTAATTTTCTTCCGATGAACATCCTACTACGTATCAAGTGTTCGTCATTTTCAATTCAATGCTAAATAAGTAATAAGAAATAATAGATAATTTCAAAATGCACTCACTCACGACGATGAGTATAGAATATTTTCACAGTAGTGGTTCGTAGAGATAGAATCAGGGAAAAATCTTTTTTCGATTACAGGGTTTGCCGGAAGTAATCCCTATTCCTCAAGACGAATACGGTGTAGATGCAGATATTTTAAGAGAAACGTTGAGGAACAGGAAGCTGTCTGGCAAGAAAATGCCGAAAATAATGTACATAAACTCGACCGGGATGAATCCCACAGGCATCATTATCCCTCTGGAAAGGAGGAAAGAGATATACAGGTTAGCGTGCGAGTACAACTTCTTGATTCTGGACGACGATCCTTATCACTTCGTGCACTTCGACGACGTAAGTGATACTCTTCTTCTTTTTCTACTTTATCTCGTCAGTTTTTCCATCATTTATCTTCTCCTGTCATTTTTTTTTTTTTTCATTTCCGTTTTCTTACGACGCGAAGATATTAAAAAATAATAAAAAGATCGTTTAAACCAGAGATGGGACGATAAATACGCTCGGAAAACAGCTCTGGAGATTATCCAACGAGAAAAATTACGGCATTGATAAAAATTAATTGATAATTGACGAGACTGGTAAACAAGAAAAATTATGTCATCTATCAGTGACACTAACGGAGAAAAATTTGCGGCGATTCGCACCCTTGATCTCGGACGTATTTCGAAGTTTGAAAAGAAAAGAAAGAACAAATGTAATAATTTCGCGAGAAAAGAAAATGAACGAGGCATTATTACACGATGTTTATGAAACATTGTAATTCCTTTGACCGGTATAAATTCATAGAGCGTTTCAATCTCTCTGGAAACATGTGACAAAATAGTTTAAACCATAAAATCATCGAATGAATATCAATCATCGTTCCGACCAATTACTCAAAATATCATTTAGTTTCTAAATTAATCATACTAAATGTTATTCCACGTTCGACTGCCTGAAATAATAGCCCGAATAATTGCCACTGTCGGCCGTGGACAGTTTTTGATAATATGTTGAAACGAATTGCACGCACAGGTGGAACCGAAATCGTTCTTATCGTTGGACACGGAGGGCAGAGTGATTAGGCTGGACTCGTTCTCGAAAGTGATCAGCAGCGGTCTCAGAATAGGATTCATCACGGCACCGGCTCCGCTGATAGCGAGCATAGAGCTTCACTTGCAGAGCAGCCACCTCCACGCCCCTACGTTATCGCAGGTTGGTAGGGTTGCTTTTTTCCACCCCGTAAAGCTTCCCGATGTTCTCCGCCGATGGTACAGTCACCAAACGAGAACAGCGGCGAATATTTTCTTTCAAAGTTCAACTTTCACTCACGATTGTGATCTTATCGAAGATGGATAAGATAGTGGCGACATGGACGAAACAAAAGACACAGAAATTTCCAATTGTTATCCTGATTGGTTTGGAATCACTTAAACGTAATTTTCAGCGATCTTGCCTACATAGATTAATCGCAACCCCTTCGTCCGGGTTATCGCTCAACAAATTTACTCTATTCGCCGACTTATTGATTCCGATTCTAACGGAACATAAGCGTTTCTCCGTTTTTCGTTCTTTCGTGAATAATTTGACAAGAATAATTCGCTTCTCGAACTTTTGCTGAAGGTTGACGATGTTAACACGAAACAATAATTCCCGAGATATATAATATGAAATTTTAATCATTGTAATTGCTCGAAGGCAATGAATACGTAGATAAATGTATATATGCATGTGCTCGAAGACAATGAATACGTAGATAGATGTATGCGTGTGTGTGTGTATGTGCATGTAAATTATGTATCGATATCACGCATGTCACTGCACGCTTCGTAAAGATACGGTGGATAGTTATGCATCATTGTGCAGACATAAATATTATTTCTCCGGAATGATAAAGCCCCGCGAAAAATACGGAGAGCCTCGCACGCTTCGCGCAATTATCATTGGACCATTGACTAAAATGATTGGACGCACGCCCATTGCTGTACCAACGGTGGCGCGTGTCGGTTCTTATCGCAAATGTAAACATAAATCGGCGCTTATCGGCGGCGCGAACGCGAACAGGGAACGGTTTCTTCACGATTGACCGTTGTTTTTTTAGGTGATAGTGTACAGGCTGATGAAATTATGGGGATACGACGGGATAATGAATCATTTCATGGGGATAAGACGGTTTTATAAGCAGCGAAGGGATGTTATCGCCAGGCTTGCTGAAAAACACTTGAACGGTTCGTATGACTAACAAAATAATCCTTATCGTACACTTCTTCCTTGAGTTTAAAGAAATTGAAATCGCTTTTGAAGAAACTATTAGAAATTGTGCGTGTTCGGGAAAATTCGACAAGTATTTCGATCTTAATACGCGTTTGTTAGTAGATCGTTTGAATAATTCGAAATTTAGATTTGAGAAGTAATTGAGATAGTTTCATTGTTACATTTGTTATTCGTTTGCTCATTTGAGTGTAACACTTTTATCGTGAACGCGTGAAATTTATTTTACCAATTTGTACTTAGTAAATGTTTTATTTTTCTTTCAAATAAGCTGGAATTATTGAAACATTTTCAAATATTTCTATCTCCTACTTTGCAGATTTGGTAGACTTTGTGTTACCTAAGGGAGGCTTCTTCCTCTGGATCAAAGTTCGCGGTATTAACGACACATGGAAGATGATTATGCAACGAGGAATCACAGAAGGTATCATAATGGTACCTGGTTCAGTCTTCATGAAGGATTCTAGCAAACCATGCAACGCTATCAGAGCTAGTTTTGCCAAAGCTTCTTACGAAGAAATGGACTTGGTAAGTTGCAACTAAACTCAGGCTGAAATATTTGATATCGACGGAGCTACGAAACTTACCATTGTACGATAAATCTAACTACGTTTCTTGATTTTCAGGCAATGAAAAGGTTGGCAGACCTAATCAGATCCGAGCTGCGAAATAATTACTCGATAATGAATGAAAATTTGTTCATAAATTAGTGTATCTTCCGTCATCTTTTATTTGACGAAAAACTAACTTCAAGTTTCAACTTCAAAGTAATTCACAATTAATTACAACGTGACAAACCTTGTATCGATAGAGCAAAGTGTAGTATCGTAAGTTGATATAGTAGAAATTATCGTACCGTATGACGAGAATTTATCGATTAATAGTAACGTACAACACAAATTATGTCGATTTTGTTAATTTTGCGAAAATTCGTCGATCATGTCTGCTAGAGGACCGTAGGGTCAAACTTTTCCGTCAAGCTTTAATATTTATAATTGCGCATTAATTTTTTTAACCATCTCGTTCAATCTGTGATTATTCCATCGTCTCGAAAAACCATCAGTAGCTTAATTGAAACCATCAACATTTTGTTCAATTAAATTCAAACAATTAGTATGAATATCGTGCGTACTTAATTACCGTAGGAATTCGCGGATGTATTTTTTCGCGTGTGTATTTATCGCGAATCGGCAAAGTATTGTATAAATTTAAACTATATTGTATAAAATTAACGTTTTTCCATTTTTAAATAAAATTGAGAGTTGATCGAAGTTGTTGGAGTTTCTTTTTTTCCCTGACATCGTTTAATATCCCTGTTCGTCTGTTTCGAAGTTTTCAAAGTCGACTTACACATGACTCTACAAATTCATCGACTGGCTGAAAGTTGGCTCGACACAGAAGGGAAAGATAAACAGGGGATGTGAAAGCACAACGAGAAAGAGAGAAAGAGAGAGAGAGAGAGAGATAGGCGAAACGCGCTATAGAATCGAGGGATAAGGGTGGAAGACAGGGACTAAACTCTTTCACTTAACGCTAAACATCTTAACTACCAATTAATTGAACGAAATTAATTTAATCTGCTGCAATATCAGCTGAGAAGGATCTATCCCGCGGCCTGCACACGTTTTCTTAACGTCGAACGTGCTGCTCGCTCCATGCTATTTTCCATCGCTGAAATAAGTGGCATTAAAAATAAACGGCGATCTTAACTAATCTTCTTGACAAAGAAATGATCCACGTTTTTTTTGCCTTTCTGTTGCATTTGCGGTCCGAAATACACAGTACCTTCGTTCCTCAGAATATTCGACACTAATCCGATTACCTATAAAGAATATTTTCGAAATGTTTCTTCGAACGCTAGGAATATTATTTTTCGATTGGTTGACCGCCGAGGGAAAAATTTCACGAATAAAGTAGTTTTAATTGTTCGAGCTTTATTTGAACGTTGCAATTGGTTAAAATTGGTAGCTAACAAGGTCTCTGTATCTTTAAATGAATGAATAAAAAATAGCAAAGTCAAAAGAAATAGATTGGATAAAAATTGGAAAACATTTCGAAAAGAGAGAGAGAGAGAGAGAGAGAGAGAGAGAGAGNAGAGAGAGAGAGAGAGAGAGAGAGAGAGAGAGAGAGAGAGAGAAAAGACGCAAACGATTACGAACGAAATAGCGACGAAAGACAGGGTGAGTGAGGTTAATACGCGGGTAATGACGGATTTAAGGCGAGCAGCTTGTGTATTTTCTCAGTCGGGAAAACGAAGGGAAATCCCCAGGCCCTTCGAAGATATAGTGTATATTAAAAGACGTTTCTACAGGTCGTTACAGGGGATGCACAGATACGGCCGATCATACGAATGGCCACATTTTCGCGAGTGGGATTTTGGCGAGAAACCAGTTCACTTTCGTTTTCCATCCCGGGATCATCGAGGTCAGTTCTGCAACTTTACGATCATCGATTGTCCACGGAAAAATACACAAAAATACCAGCGCACATTTTCCTGGTAATCCTGCGAAATCCTAACGCAACGCCGACGTCTGGCTTTTAGAACCAATTCGAAACAATGTCGCTCGATTTCCGACGAAATTTTTCGAAACGAAACTGTCCATTAAATTGGTAATCGATAATTTTATAATGTACCAGAGTACAAGCTACTTGATCGATGGTCGTTCCTACGACTAATTATCAACAAGTAAGATTATCGACACGAAAGTGATAAAAGCAAAATCCATTGAAGTTTCACTTATAAGCAATTCCATCGACTACGTACTTCGCAGCCGTTCCTGCGATGCCTCTCGATCTTCGCCTCGTTCTCAGTCAACGGCGGAACATTATTTTTACGAATCTCACCCCCGAAACTAGTCACCGTCAACGGGCTTTCAAGGATACGCGCCGTTACTTGCCGCGATACACGGGCCAAGCTGGTTCCTCCTCGAGGAACCGGTGGAAAAAAGAAAGAAAAGAGGAGAAAGCGGAGGCGAAGCGGAATTCCGAGATTCGAGGGTACCCCTCAGTCGCGGACTTGGGCTCGGGCTCGGGCTCGTATATAGCCCGAGTGTGCTTTCTGTCGCTCTTCTATTCGCCGGTGCCGCGCCATATAGCACAGGGACGGTAAAGGGGGCTATTCCCCAGGGGTAGGTGAGATCGGGAGGTGAGATGCGGAGGCGGTAGGGGAGGGGGTGGTTCGAATCTAGGGAAGAGCAGCGTCGAAAGAGGGAAACGAGAAACGGAGGGAAAGAGAAAAGGATGGAAGAATGAAGGGGGGGGGGATGAAGGGGAGGAAACGCAGGAAAAGGAGAAGGCGCTACGAAACGAAAGATAGAGGAGAAGGCGCGCGGCAAAGAGAAAGACAGCGGTGAAATGAGAAAGGTATAGAACGAATGGAGCGAGAAAGGAGAGAGGTTGGCAAGGGTGTGCGAGGGGTAGTGCAGTTTCGTGTTGGCATTACTCTTGATTTCCGTGGTGACGTCGCTACCTCGGCTGCCCTTTCCCTCCAGTGTTACTGCTCTGCCTCTTCCTCCTGGCTTCTCCTCCGCCGCGGTGTCTTGTGTTTTGCCGTTTCTATGTGCGGGGCCTACACCCGCACCCAACTACACCACCAACCGTAGCCCGTCCTGATACGGAGAAAGAGCAGCCACCCGGACTATCCGGCAGAGATAGATCCTTCCGTGCGCCCTGCCTACGTATATCGTTTCAGGCTACGAATACAACCCGTCTCTACGCGTACGTGTAAAGACACTCACATAGCTAACCGAAATGCTTTTCGTTGCTCGCAAGGCCGCGCGTCGCGCGCGGAAAAACCCTTTGCACCAAGCATTATATCACGGTAAACATCTCAGCCTCCCGAAACCGCGTTACGCCGGATAATAAAAAATTAAGGGACCTCGGGATCGGCCAACTTTTCCCTCCGCGCGTTCGCTTCCTCATCTCGACCAGCTGACCAACTGTAATAAATGACCGATAATGAATCCGTCGTGGTTCAGCTCGCGCTCGGTGGACACTGGCACGCGGAAGAAAGTTTGCTACGATTGATTGACGGAGTAGGTTCGAAACGACCGAGGTAAATCGTGGGTGAAGTTGGCAACGTTTGGAGAAACCTTTGCTTCGACTGGCGAATATCGTTCCGACTGGCGAGGGCGCGTTTGAAAGTTGGGGGTGAGAATACGTTTTTTTCTTTTATTGATTCCTTGAATTCTGTGTCGGAAGGGCTAGAAGAGAACGTGCACCTGGCTACTTTAAGCTCAAGCGTAAACTTTAGTCGGTCTTTTAATCGACACGAAAGTTTCAACGCTCGATTTGTTCTTTCTTTCAGAAGCGTCGCTTGTTTGGAAGAAAGAATTTGTATCGCGCGTAGAAATTCCTACGTTTGAAGGGAAAGGGAGAAACAGCTCGGGGGGCAAACTCAAAGAGTGGTTGATACTTGTTTTTCCTCGGGAGGCACTATCTCTTATCCAGCTCTGTCGTTGGTTTCCCTAACGTCGGTTGCGAAAGGCGGTTGCGTGTTACGAAAGCTTTCTTTATTTGTCCGCTGCCACGTACATCTTCTCTCGGTGATTAATACTCCATGAATTGGTGCAAATTTATCTCGAAAATGCGAATGAAGATAAAAGAAGTTCGATACGAGTTCTCTGACATATCTTACAAGTCTCTTAAAAGTTGTTAATGGAATACCACGAAGAAGTATATTAATTTTTTAACGCATCAACGAAACAGAGCTAAATCATAGTTGAGAAATATGAAAGTCTGCAATGCATTAGACTAGTTAAAGGCGATGGAGCTTGAAACTGCACGACGTTTCAAATGATGACTAACTGTAAATGCCAAATCAACGAAAATGCATTCCTCTTTCTACGCTTGATAATTTTCACTCCAAGCGGAAGTAAGTATTCGTGCCATTCCCAAATTCACATTTTTCACAACACGTGTCTCACAGTTCTAGTCAACGAGACTGCCGACTGGTTAATCACAGTATTTTCGAAGTGACGGATTGATAACAGTTTAGAAATATCAATCGGTTTCACAGTCGTTTCTTTTACAATTTCAACTTTTCAGTTCGGTAGACGCCCCTCATGAGTCCATGCGTCAAAGCTAGTCCCCCAACTTTTATCATCGTCACGAGAATCCAACCAATCGAACCACCTTGATCCTGTCGGGCAATAATTTCTCGATCGTTTCCTCTTGGATCGAGTCGCAGAGCCGGATTCCACTCTAGCAAAAATCTGTCTGCGAAAGAAACTTCGACGGTTGACAGGGAGGTCTAGCCGAAAATCCGATCGGGAAAAGGTCGAGTGCGAAATAACGACGGAACAACGGCGAAAGTCGAACGAGGGGGTGCAAAAGGGTGGAGTGGAGGGGAAGGGGGTGGTTCGGATCGGCGTACAATATAGCCTCGCGATTGCCCAGTAAATATCGGGGCGAGGTTATAGCCGGGCTCCGCGGCCCGTAAACCAAGACATTAAATTTTATAATATTGCGTCCCGTCTCGCTCCCGTCCCTCCTCAACATCGACCCCTCTGGTCGTCGTTTCACCTACCTACCCCTTGGTAGCGCGCGAGCGGGGTGGACGCGGGCGCGAGCGAGCCAGAACGCGAGCGCGCACCCGTGCTTTTATTGGCTATTTACAGAGGAAATGGCCTCTAAATTAACTGCAGACTGCCGGATTGCTACCTATATCGAGCGGCCTCGTATAACGCCTCGCCGCTCCCGCTGCCCGTTAAGATCAAAATCGAAATGACAGAGCGGCGGCGATTAATTTTGCGCGCCAAAATAGCGAGCCTCGCTTTTCTTTTCTCGCTCGGTTTCTCGATCAGCTCGGGTTCGATCTTCCTCTGGCTCGTTCGCTGGGCCAGCGGCGTCGCACGCAGCGACGCATGATCGTTTCGATGGCTACGACGCGGCGACCGTCGGCTGTCTTGTCACCCGGACGCGAAAAACTGATCAACGTCCTGGCGCGAGAGGAAGGGAACTGTCGATGGAAAGAGGGCCGTACGTGTCGGGCTCCCTTTTAATCAGACGGTAAATGTTTGATCGTTCGACCGAGCGGTGGCGTTTATCGGATTTTTTTCGGGACCCTTGATCGTCGAGATCGGTCGAAGAACCGACACACGGAGTGTCAGGACTCCTGAGAGTTCTACGAGCTTGATATCGTTATTTATGGTTGCTTGATGGCGTGGTTTTATCGGGCAGAGGGGAACGTGTTTGGCGAGGAGTATTCTGGTCAGGGTTTACCCAAAAGTTCACGTGGACGGTTACTCTTTACATTTTTATGCATCTT